ATCTTATTTATACATAAGTAGGTTATAAACTGTCCCTTTATTCTCTCCCTCACTATTCTGACATCCCCCCAATAAGAGCATTATTAAAAAGCGCCAAAGGTAGTTTCTTCATAGTCTAAATAAAACAAATTGACTTATGCTAGCTACACTATCTTCTCCAGGGAGATAAAAATATGATCTTCCAAAGCTGGGAAGCCTGACTCACCTCTAAACTGTTAGACTTTTCAATAAAAACAAAATTCCAAGCAGAACAAGAAATTTTAAAACGAAACTTTAGACATTTAGAAGCTAAAAATGGAAAGAACCCTCCTGAGGTAATAAGGAAAACTACGAGAACTCTAGCAGCAAGCATAATTGATACCTAATCGTACAATATTAGAAGAATTCCCACCCAAATCAGTGCCCTAAAGTGAAGCCTAGCCACTAAGGCAAATAAAATGAGGAAAAACATTGGAGGAGGGGGTCCCTAAGTTATTGCCATCTGCAGATGTTTGATTGTCTACCTTGAAAATCCAAGAAAATTGACCAAAAAACCAAGAGAGCAAACAGAAGTTCAGTGACATGGCTTGGATACATGATAGGCCTACAAAAAAACGTTAGTTTTTGTATACAATAGTGTAGTAATTGTAAAATGAAAAGGGAAAAAAGGAAACAATTTCTAAAAGCAATAAAAATTATACACACAAAACAATCTAGGAATTCACCTTACAAAAATGTGTAAGACCTAAAATGTGGTATTGGAATAAAGATAGACATACAGATCAATGGAACAGAATAGAGCTCGAAAATAAACCCACATACATACAGTCAACTAATTGTGACAAAGGGGCCAAGGGGATACAATGGGGGGAAAGCACAGTCTTTTCAACAAATAGTGTTGGAACCACTGGCTATCTCTATGGAAAAAAAGTGGATCTTGAGCCATATGGAAATTAACTTGAGATGAAGTCATAAACCTATATATAAGTGATAAAACTATACAATGTCTAGAAGAAAGCATAGGAGAAAATCTTGGTAAATGCGAGGTTGACAAAGATTTATCAGACAGGTTACTAAAAATGCTATCCACAGAAGAAAAATAACCTGATAAATTAGACTTTATCAAAATTTAAAATTTCTGCTCTTCAAAAAAATAATTTTTAATTCCACTCATGTGCTGTATAAGTCAAATACAATAGTCAAATTTGTAGAAACAGAGTAGAATGGTGGTTGCCAGGGCCTGGGGGCGGAGTGTGTGTGTGTGTGTGTGTGTGTGTGTGTGTGTGTGTGTGTGTGTGTTGGGGGGAGGAATGGAGAGTTGCTGTTCAACAGGTAAAAAGTTTCATTTATGCAAAATTAGTAAGTTCTGGAGATCGGCTGTACAACACTGTCCTACACTTAATACTATATCGTACCCTTAAAAATCTGTTAAGGGAGCACATCTCATGTTAAATGGTGTTACCACATTTTCAAAAACTAAAGAAAATGAAAAGGCAAGCCACAGACTAAAAGAAAATATTGGCAATACATATACGAGTATCTGACAGAGCACTTGTAACCAGATGTATGATATATGAAGAACTCTTGTGATTCAATAAGACAAACAATACAGTAAAAAACAGGCATTTCATAAAAGACCGAAAAGCACATGAAAAGATGCTGAGCATCATTAGTCATCAGGGAAGCGCAAACTAAAACCACAAAGAGATGCCATCACAAACCCACTGGAATGGCTACAATAAAATAAACTGACAATGCCAAGCGCTGATGAGGATGTGAAGCAACGGGGACCTCTCATACACTGCTGGTGAGAGTGTGCAGTGGTGCAGCCACTTGGGAAAAGTTCGGCAGTTCTTATAAAGCTAAATTTACCAACACAATATAGCAATCCTACTTCTAGGGATTTACCCGAGTGAAATGAAAATCACGTTCACACAAAAAGCGGTATATGAATATTTATATTGGCCCTGTTCATAATCACAGAAAGTTGGAGAATGGATAAACAAAGTGGAATATTACTCAGTAACGAAAAGGAACAAGTTGTTGATTCCTCCAACAGGGATGAATCTCAAATGCATTATGCTAGGTGAAAGACGCCATACTCGGAAGGCTATATCACATGAATCCATTCACAGGACACTCTGGAAAAGACAAATTGATAGGGACAGAAAACAAATCAGTTTTCTGAGTGCTGGGAGGGGTTGACTACAAACGGTCAATAAAGAATTGTTTTGAGTGATGGAATTTTTCTCTATCTTCTAAAAAGGGTGAATGCTATTATAAATAAATTGTACCTCAATTTTAATTTTAACATGGAATCGACTCAAGAATTAAGTAGATTTATAAAATGGAAGCATTCATAGAGTCTTATTTGATTGAGGGAATTTATTTTATGATAATTTCCCCCAGATGTTTAGCCCATTTCTTAACTTCCAATACCTCCCCAGCTCATACTATACCCCCAAATAAGTTCCACATGAATTAAAGACCCACATATTATAAAAGCCATAAACATTTTAAAAGAAAATTTTTTTTTCTCTAATCTTGAGGTGGGAAGGCCTTTCTCAGTGGGGCATAGAAACCAGCTCTCAGGTTTTTACTAAAGGCAGAACCTCTCCTTTCTATTTTTGGAATTATTAACATTACAGAAACACATTCTCCCCACCCCCCTTTTTAAATTTAATGGTGCTCCTTCCAATTTGTAGCATGTATGTGAAAGAGACTTGGCACTCTCAGGCAGCAAAATGGGGGGAAAAAGTGTTTGTCAGTTTCATGTGAGCAGTGAAAGCACCAGGAACCTACATAGTGATGTCCTCCCCACCCCCCTAAGTCCCAAACCAGACTCAGCCACACCACAGCCCCCAGAGTGATCATGTCGGCCATGGAAAAGCAGCTTCTTTACTGGCTGTCCCTAACACCTGAGCAAACTCACTTTGCCATTTCTGGAAGGCTGTTCATGGTACCAAAAACATAGCGGCTCTCCTTTCCCTGCCAAACCTGCCAATGAAATTCCATTTCTCAGACGTTTTCTCCCTCTGCTGAACAAAATCATATCCATAATTAAAGTTCAATCTTTTGCTTTTCTGTGTTTCCAGCATTTTTTTTCTAGAAAAGCACACACACCTGGAATCAGTGGGTTTGGGGCAAGACTTATTCATGGAGAAAACACTGATGCTTGCCCTGCATTTCTTCAGTGTTTTTCAATAGTGAACTGTATTCTGTGACCCTTTTAATGAAAGTCACCTTGCAGGGATGTGGGAATGATAAAAGCAGAGGGAATCCGATCGGCCTGGCATCCCGCTGAGGCCCTGTAAAACAATACCCCTGGAATAGCTACAAAATTTGGCCACTTTTTGTTTTCTAGCTTTGCATTTGAGCTGTAAAAGCAGCCAAACCAAGCAATGTCGAGCTCATTTTAGATTTTAACTAAGCAAAACTTTGAGACACCAAAAAGGACTCCCGAAATCCTTTGGAAATAATACACACTTTTGTCACTTAGTTTACAAATTATTATGACATCAAACTTAATTGTATTGTTTATTAATAATGAAGCTCTTAATAAATTGTTTATTATTAATGTGAACAAAACAATAAATATTGACATACCATGTATAACTGAGATTATATTCATAGGCTTACCTCTTGAAATAGTTGAGAGAAATTGAGAAAGTGGGAAGAACTGCAACAACTAACTGGTGGTCTCTGCATAATAAACCTTCACTCTCCATCACCCACAAGCTCTGAACCCAGTTAGAAGAAATGGATCCTTTCTCTGCCTGTGGTGACTATTAGACAGGGTCAGCTACGTAATCCGTGGGGCCCAGTGCAAAATGAAAATGCGAGGCCCCTTGTTCAAAAATTAAGACTTTCCACAGCAGAGCATTAAACCAAATACAGTTTGCATGTCCATGAAACCAACTCTTCTATCAGATAATGTATTTGGCTAGTAACTGGTAAGAAAAGTAAAGCATTTCCCTACTAAATGAGTAGCAATCGTTTTCATGTGTGTGTTTGCGGGGAGAGGGGGAGGTGGGATTGTAAAGTCTTAGGACCACCTCTCCCAATCTCCCCCTTTTCCTAAGGTTTTCAGACTGTTGGACAAGAAGTACTTCCGTAGGGCCTGCCATATAAAGTGTGGTCCATGGAGCAGCAGCAGCATCGAAGAGCTTGTTAGAAACCAGACCGTCGAGCCCCACCCCAGACCCACTGAATCAGAACCTGCATTTTAACAAGATCCCCAGGGGATTCGTGTGGACGGAACATACAAAGAAGTGTCACCGTCGAAGCAGTCACGGAAAACCTCTTCCGCCTGCCTCATTTGGCTCTCGGGAGGCCCGTCAGCTCTCCTCCTCCTCATCTTATATATATCGTTCGGGAGCCTCGAAACGGCAAGCCCTGCTCGAAATGAGCGCTCACCCGAGACCTCCAGCCTCCCCCTTCCCCCATGTTCACCCCCCCGTGTCCCCCCTCCGCCCCGCGGCTCCGGGCTGCCGCTCCATCTCGCCGCGCCCGGGGCCACCTGTTCTGAGTCCCGCCAGGCGGTGCAGCGCCAAGGCTTCTCGGGCCCAGGGCGCGTTCGCACTCGGCAGGCTCCGCCGCACCCACTGCCTGGCGCGGTAAACTGAACCCCGCGAGTCGCGTTTCGAAGACGGACCGTGCGAACAAGACTCGAGGCTCCGTTTTCCCGACGGGTGGGAAGAGTTTGAGTCCATTTGAAGCTTTCAGATACATACGTCCCCACCTCTCCCCCCGGGGAACGCGTCGCAGGAGCCCCCTTTCCCACGGCGTGCACCCTACTGTCAAGGTGTCGGTCCCCGAAGCTCGGCCCTTTGCCTCTGCCTTTCAGGGCGGTCCCAGACCCGGGCTTAGAGCTGCAGCGGGCGGAGGGAGCGTTCGCCCCGCTGTCCCGTCTCCCTCCAGGTCCAGGCGCTGCGCCTGAGCCGCCCGCTCCCGTCGCCAGCTCCCCGGGCTGGGTCTCAGGAACCCAAGGGGATAGACCCATCCCGGCGCCACGCGCTTACCTGCCGGTCCCCAGCGACGGGCTGGCTGCTGGCGCCCTCCGGCCCTCCTTTTCCCCTTTCCCTCCAGCCGCGTCCCTCCTCCCGCCTCCCGCGGGCTGGGCGCCGCCCCCGCCGCTCCCGGATCGCTCTCCCTCCCGCTCTCCAGCTGCCCAGCGGCGTGGCGCGTCGAGCGCTCGGCTGCGGCGAGGCTGGGCGCGGAGGCTGGACGCGGAGGTGGGGAGCGGGCGGGGCGCTGAGGGAGGGGGCTGTGATTGAGCGGCGCCGCGGTCCGAAGTCTGGAGGGGATCTCCCGGCTGAAGGCGGGGAGAGAAGTGTGGGCCACGGGCGGGGAGGCCCACCCCACCCCTGCCAAGGCCCGTGCTGCGCTTCTAGACTCCCTGGACCGCTAGACCCTCGGATGTCCGGTGTCGCATCCCGCGTGCTTTCTCGGGGACCCCAACCTCCAGAACCTGCCGCTCACCTTCAGGGGTCGCCCTGGTATCCTGATGCCTGTCCCATCACTTTCAGCACCGTGCACTGTGATGGGTGGGAATCCCGAGGTCTTTCTGTCGCAATATACCTGATGCAGAGATCAGATGTCAGGCCACTTGGAGGGGGATTTGGAAAGATCGGTTAAAGAAAAACGTCCTGGGAAAGGATTCAGCTCCATGGTTACCTGGTGAAGGACACGTTACACCGGATACTCTGAAACTGGGATACCCAGCGCATTGCCTGCTGGATGAAGTCAGTTGTTCCTGGTCCCTCTACCTCTTCTGTCAGTCAGCATCTCCTCCCTCTGCATGTTTCACAGAATGAAAACTAGATCTGGATAAGACTGAAGGTCACCTAACCAGCTTGTCAAAGTACTCCGTGTTACAGATAGGAAAACAGAGGCCTAGAGGGGTCTTGGGTCTGTTCTACAACACGAATTAGTTGCAGAGATCAGGGGGGGAAAAAGCGCTATGAATTCCTCCTCTGGCTCCTTCTACTGTCCCCACAACCCCCTCCAGCCCTCCTCTTTATAGTCAAATAACTCCTATATTTGCAAAACGCTTTATCACTTTAAAAGCACCATTCTCTTTTGTTAAAGACTTCAGGAGAATATTCCATTTTTCTTTACCACCAAAACAAAATTCTAGATTCTGAATTGCATTCACTGCTCTGAGAGGATGCTTATAAAGTGCACATCTGCAGAGCACATCCTGGCAGACTCTGCCATATTAGACACAACAAGGGTGAGATATATACTCTGCTTCGCAGGAGGGGTTGAATTTGTTTTGCAAACACCAACTCATTAACACTCACAACATTCTGGCTGGATGAATGAATGGAACGTGTTTTCAGAGAAACTTTTGACTGGTTGGATTAAGGGGAATGGAGGTCAGAAAGCTCATCCAGGTTACATAACAAATTCAAGGTAGAATTATGATGAGGGGGAAAACTGTATATTTTAATAAAGAGATTCAGTGTTACTCCAAAGGGTTCAATTTAACCATTTGAATTAACACTTGCATATATTTGCCTTATTACAAAATAGGCTTCGTATTGTGTAGAGACCCCAGAACTCTCATACACTGCTAGTGGGAGTATAAATTGCTTCAAGCATTTTGGGAAACTATCTGGCAGAATCTATTAAAATTCAGCATCCAACTACCCTATGTCCAGCAATTCCTCTTCTAGGTGTATACTCAACAGAAACGAGTGCATATGTTTACCAAAGGATATGAACGAGAATGTTCATAGCAATGTATTTGCAATAGCCCCAGATTGGAAGCTACCCAAATGTCCATCAACAGTAGAGCGGATTGAAAACATTGTGGCATGGTCACAAAATGGAATACCAGACAGCATGGTCACAAAATGGAATACCAGTTCATGCAATGAGAATGCATGAACCATAGCTATGTTGAGTATAGACAAGGGGTCAGCAAACTTTTGAGATGGAAGAACCAATCCTGTCCTTCACAACAATTTAAAAATTATTCAACAGCCATAAAACAAATGAAATCACCATTATGTGAATAATATCCTTTAAAAGTTTTATAAGTGAAACTATGATAGTTTTATTTTCATTTTCAGTTTTACTTCAGAGCCACATGTATGTACCCAAAGACCTGCATGTGGCTCGCGAGCCGCAGTTTGCCGACCCCTGGTCTAGACGGACCTCAGAAACAATATTGAGAGAAGGAAGTCAGACATGGAAGCATACCTACTATGTGATTCCATTTACACAAAGTGTAAAATAGGCAAACCCCATCTATGAAGTTAGAAGTCACTATGATGGTTATTGGGGGTTGGTGACGGGAGGGAGTTACAAGGAAGATAAGAAGGCTTTATGGGGCCCAGGTAATGTCTTGTTTCTTGACTTGGGTGCTACTTACATGGATCTATTAAGTTTGTGAAAAGTCATTGATCTGCTCAGCTAAGCTATGCACACATTTCTCCATCTATGTTTTACTTCAATGAAAAGCTAAAATATGTATAGCTCATATTCAAGGTTACTTGAATTTCTAGAGCGACACCAGAATAACTATACTTTTCCTTTAAACAGTGTTGCTGTTTTTAAAAATGTCACTTTAAGGAAATATGTCTAAAAACCAAAAAAAAAAGTCTAAAAAAAAGCCTAAAATTTAAAATTCGTATTGATGCACCTGCAGACAAAATTTCACTCTCCTTGACACACGCTCTCAGGTCAGCATAACTCTGCCATCAGGACCAACAGAAGAGGAAAGAGGCTGGGACTGAGGAGGGGCCCCAGCTCTCCAGCCAGGGGCTGGCTGTGTTTTCTGTGCGAGGGAGCCCTGGTTACAGGCCTCCTACACAGGCACTGTCTGGTGATGTGAAGGAAGGCCGTGGGTGCTTAGGATTTGCGGTTAAATATTAGCACAGCCTGTGTGCTGATGTCCCAGAAACTGCAGGGGGGGCCACCTTGGCTCTTGTCCCAGAGGGTCTTGAGCCGGTGGTAGAATTCAATTCCCAGCCATTGATCAGGAAACATGGCGGAGACCGAGTAGGGAGTGCCAGTCCTTGTCTCCTTGCCCTCTGCCACTGGTGGAGCCCATAGAGTGGGTTCTTGGCAAAGGGAGGTGGCAGAGGACAGCTCACCACTGCTCAGAGCCCAGCCTTCTTCTTAGAACTCCAAATGCAACTTTACCTGTGGCCAAATAGTCTAAAAATATACCACACAATGGTTTCAAACAGATTCATTATTTTCCAAGGGAAATGAGCACTAAGAGAACATGGGACTTGGGCGCAAGTAAAGACAGTGGGATAAGGGACTAGGATGATGATGATGATGATTAACATTGAACTTCCTATGTGCTGAGCATGTTACCATTTTTACACTTTATACGTTGTTACTAAATTCTCATGACAATCCACTGATGATTGTCCAGCTGAGGAAACTGAGGTACAGAGAGGTTGAGCAGCTTCTCCCAAGGTCCACAGCTAGTAAGTGGTAGAGCCAGGACTGGAATCAGTTGGAGGGTGACTTTCAAGTTCCTGCTGTTTTAGTGACTGGGTATGAAAGGTAAAATGTTGGGATGCCAAAAGCACCAGATAGAGAATCAGGAAATGAGGGGTTTGGTGTCTATCAGGCTTTCCACTAAACTAATCAGTGTAGTCTTTTTTACTACACTGAGTCTGGCTTTCATTTTCCCCATTTGTAAAAAAAATACGGAGCGGGTGACAAGGCTGATCTAATCTCCAGTGATAGTGCCAAGGGTTGTTTTGGGGTGTTTTAGGCCCTTCATAATCTCCACCAACACTCCAACACCACAAATAGAAGGCATCTAATGAAAACAGTGTACAGTACTATACAAACAAAACATGAAAAGTCCCCTAGCCAACGTGACCTCTACTTCCAACACAATTGTAATCAGATCACCTTGCCTGATTTTCTGTTTAGAAATTCTAGAGCTGCCACTCAGAAGTCCTTTCTGGCTTAAGTCATTCATTCATTCAACACACATTTATTTTATACTTACGGTATCAGTGAGGATAGACTAGGTGTTGATGCAGTAACAAACAACTCTCAAAATCTCCGTGGTTAACGCAGCACGGGTTTATGTCTTGCATTGTGTGTTCATCATAGGTTGGGGCGGGAGGCTGTACTTACTGCAGTCCCTTAGGGACCCAGGCTGACTAAGCAGCCACCTTCTCAAACGTTGCTGGCCGCTGAGCTAGAAGGAAAAGAGAGCTCTGGGCCATAAGTATTTAAATGCTCCAGCCCAGAAGTGATGTGCGACACTTCTGCTCCCAGCTCATTTGCTGGAACTGTTCACATAGTTGCACTCAGACACAGAAAATTCAACCCTCCAGGACCCAGAAAGTGGAATGGTAGAAATATTGGTGAACAGCACTGATGACTACCACACCCACTATGTGTCAGACCCTGGGCAGAAGATGGGCAAGAGGTGGTCCTAGCCCTCCAGTCACTCACGATCAAACCAGAGAAGTCTCTGGTGACACCATTCCATCCCCTTTGGCGTAGGCTTTGGTGGGTCTAGGTGAAAGACCAATTACTGCCAATGTGAGTGAAGTCACCGCGTGATACAGCAAAATTTTTCTCCAGAACATTGCGTTAGTTGTAATGGTGGTGTACCTATTGCACAATGGAGTAGATAAATAAATCACACACTCTCATGGGAGGCAAAAAGTCTCTCCTTATGAAAATACTGAATGAAGACAGTTGGACATGTTGTCATTCTGCTCGATGAAAGTTACAAATGACAGTTTAATGAAAAATGAAACCAGACTTTGGCCTCGACCAAGATGAGGATAGTGGGACCAGCCCTTTCTGAGAATGTGTTCCAACTTGGGAAGAGCTGAAAATGGCCCTGTGCCAACACAAATAACTGAGAATCCAGAGGAAACTGAATGCATCCCAGCAGATCTGCATGCTGGCATTAGCTTGTGCAACTCACCACCACCCTCCCTGCCTACATCAAGCAATCCTGGGGTAGAGACGAGGGGAAGGAAGACAAGCTCATTAGGTTCTTTAGTAGTGGCACAGGGGACAACTTTCTGAGCCAGGCCACATCCAACTCCGTGTTAATTGAGGGTCTCTGAATAGCGATGACCCTTTTGTTTCTTGGA